GAGAGTATAAAGATTTAATCTATGATGATATTTCATGTAAATCAGATACAATATATACACGTACAGATATAACAGCTAGCCCTATAACAAAGGAATTTAAATAATACAAATACAACCTTATCTAAAATTAAATTTTATCGCTAATACTCTCCGTCAATCCGAACGGTGGAGGTCCAACACGAAGCTTGGTGCGAAAACGTTCAAAGATTGGTCGCGAAAGACTTTTAGTGAAGATGTCGGCTAGCTGCAAGTGAGTGGGAATAAATTGTGTATCGAGTTTACCAGAGGCCACTAATTCACGAATAAAGTGATAATCGATATCAATATGTTTGGCGCGTTTGTGGGAGACAGGATTTTGGCTCAAGAAAAGCGTACTTTTGTTGTCACAAAGAAGTGTAGGAACCGATGGTGGCAAAGCATGCAACTCGCGAAGAAGGTGAGTAACCCAAATAGTTTCTGAAGCGGTGTTTGCCATAGCCCTATACTCGGATTCAGTGCTAGATCTGGAGACAGTGGGTTGCTTTTTGGCACTCCAAGACACTAAATTCCCGCCAAGAAAAATGGAGTAACCATAGGTAGATCGTCTTGTCTCAATACACTGTGCCCAATCGGCATTAGAATATCTAATCACGGAGGAGGAATGAGGCCGATGAAAGTGCAACCCGTAGGAAATGGTACCTTTAACATAGCGCAAGATCCGTTTTACAGCCTGAAAGTGAGCATCAGTTGGAGATTGTAGAAACTGACTCACTTGATTTACTGCAAACGACAAGTCAGGCATGGTAATAGTTAAGTATTGAAGGGCTCCAACTAGTGAACGATAGAGCGTGGGATCCGAGAATGGAGTGCCGGTTGTGACCAAGTAGTCGGTAGTGGATAATGGTGTAGTGACGGGTTTGGCCTCGAGTAAACCGGCTCGAGTAAGAATATCATGCGCATATTTGGCTTGGGTTAGAAAAAGACCATCATCCGTATATGTAACCTCAAGACCAAGAAAATAATTTAATTGACCCAGATCTTTAGTGGCAAATTCATTGTTTAAAAGTGCAATGAAAGTGATAATAAGAGATGGGTTGTTACCGGTTAGGATGATGTCGTCAACATAGACAAGTAGATAAAGCAAAGTGGTGTCTCTATGAAAGATGAATAATGAGGTGTCGACTCTACTACAACTAAACCCAAGACTGAGATGGAAGGTGCAAAGGCGGTGAAACCATGCACGGGGTGCCTGTTTGAGGTCATAAAGAGTCTTGCGGAGATGACACACATGTAAGGGAAACTTTTCATCTATAAATCCGGGAGGCTGTTCCATGAACACCGTATCTGAGAGTTGACCATTCAAGAATGCATTTTTGACATCAAGTTGGTGAAAAGGCCACTTTTGCATGATAGCAAGAGAAAGGAAAATTCGAACAGTGGAAGCCTTGACCACCGGACTGAAGGTGTGTGAATAGTCAATGTCGGGTACTTGAATGAAGCCTTGAGCTACGAGGCGTGCTTTGTACCTGTCAATGGTGCCATCAGAATGAAACTTGGTACGAAAATCCATTTGGAGCCAACAATATTGGTGTTGTGAGGACGAGGAACGAGCTCCCATGTTTCATTAGAATGTAATGCAGCCATTTCTTCTTCCATAGCCATTAACCATTGTGGATTCTTGGCCGCAGACTTGAATCCTTTAGGAACTAAGGTAGTGAGTAAGGCTTGAAAGAGAGTTGTTGTGCTAAGAGATGCAAAATCCGCTCTATATTTTGGTTTAATAATACCAGCCTTGCCCTGAGTAATCATAGGATGAGTGGCTGGTGGGGGTGAGGGTGGTGATGAAGGAGAAGGTGTAACCGGTGGTGTGACTGGTGGCGTAACCGGAGGTGTGACAGCAGGGGACTGTTACGGCATCTCAGGTGTTGAAGTGGGAACCTCTAGCGGTAGTTGAGCAGTGGAACCGGCTGAGATAGGAGCGGACATAGAGCAGGAGCTACAAGGCTCAGGATCTGTAGCAGAAAGCACCTCGGCAGGAGGCTGGGGAGATGCGGTTGTGGCTGCTGAAGTTGAGAGTGATGGCAGTCCTTCATCAAATGTTGAGATGAAAAGTTTATCTAGATCAGATGCAACTGTGGATCATAAAAAAGGAAAAATATGTTCGTCGAATTGAGCATGGCGAGTGGTGTAAATTTGATTTGTTGTAGGATCAAGACAACAATACCCTTTGTAGGCGGAATTATAACCAATGAAAATGCACGAAGCACTTCTCGGAGCCAATTTGTGTGGTGAGTAGTCGTGTAAATAGGGAAACACACGACAACCAAAAAATTTAAAAATGTCGTAGTTTGGCACCGTGTGATATAAGAGCTGAAATGGACTTTGATTGTTGAGGAGCTTGGTTGGAAGACGATTGATGATGAAAACTGTGGATGTAAATGCATCAACCCAAAGAGAACCTGGGGCGTGTGCATGAAATAACATGGCAAGACCGGTTTCTATGATGTGGCGGTATTTACGTTCTGCTCTACCGTTTTGTTGCGGGGTATAAGGATAAGACACCCGTTGATGTATTCCGTTTTTGGCAAAAATATCTTTGACATGGTGATTAAGAAACTCTGTGCCCCCGTCGGTTTGGAAGTTTTTAACTTTGCAAGAAAATTACGTTTGCACATATGTTAGAAAAGTGTCAAGGATTTGGGCAAAGTCGGATTTTTTCTTTAACGGATAGAACCAAGTGAACCTGGAAAAATCATCAATAAAAACTGCATAATATAGATATCCATTTGTAGATTCAATGGGGGCAGGACCCCATAAGTCACAATGAACAAGATCAAGCACATGTAATGAACGTTTCAAGTTATCATCAAACGGTAATCTTTTACTTTTAGCAAGTTGGCAAGGTGAGCAAAGGCCCGGTTTAGGGGAAACAGTAGTAAGAGATAAAGAACCTAATTTTTCCAATAACGTAACAATGTCAAAAGCTACATGTCCTAATCTACTATGCCAAATTTCAAAGGAAGCACTAGTCCTCTTATTTTTTAATGCAGCAAAAAACATCTTATTTCCTTGCTCAATAATGTAAAGCCCCTCTTCACATCTACCTCTTGCTATTATATCCTTGGTGCTTCGATTCTGAATAGCAAAATATGTATTAGACAATAAGATATCTACCGGCCAATCATGAGTTAACTTGATAATGGAAAGCAGATTCTTGGTAATATGAGGCACCACTAGCACATCTAAAAGAGTAAGGTTATGGGAAATATGAGATGTACTAGTACTGGAGATGTTTAATAAATTACCATTGCCAACAGCAACATGATCATTGCCTGTGTAGGAAGAGGAAGTGTCCAAATTTGAGGCTGAATTTGTCATATGTATCGAACCCCCGTAGTCTACATACCAATCAGAATTTGTGTTCCACTTTGACTGAAATTCATGAGCCAAATTAGCATCAACTATTCCTCCTTTTGCATATGACGAGAGGTCTGGACAAGAAGACGCATAGTGTCCGTTGGTCCTACACAATTGGCAGTGAGGAGGGTGGCGGCCACCACGCCCTCTGCCACCTCCACCTCTAGAAGTTTTTCCACCACATCCTCTAGAGTTGTAGTTGGTAGGATTGCGAGGAGGTGCAGTAGTATTGGCTGTAAAAGCAACCAGAGTAGTGGCAACATTACTGTGAATTGAAGCCATGAAAATTTTGTGGCTCTCTGCATAGGATAACAGGTTGCGGAAGGAGGGGGTAGGCTTGACAGCCCGCTGGGATGTGGAGAATGTCTCGAACCCAGACTCAAGTCCACAAAGGAACCAGTGGGCCTTATCAGTATCTTCAACTGGATGGCCCACAACAGACAATTGATCGCAGACTCCCTTGAATTTTCGGCCAAACTCTGATAAGGAGGAGGATCCTTTCTGCATCTGCCTAAGTGAATCTCGCAGAGTTTGAACCCTCTCCATGGAATCGTCAATATAAGCTTACTCCAAAGCTTGCCAAATTGCATGTGAAGTAGAAAGATTTAGCGTCTCTGTCATGGCCTCCTCAGAGATGGAGGATTGGATAATCAAAAGAGCCCGTTGATCTGCATCAATCCAAGATTGATGGGCGGGATTTGCGGCAGATTTACCATCGGTTTGAATGGTAGCAGGTGGGCATGGATTTGTACCATCGACATGCTCAAGAAGACGCTGATAGGATAAAAGGGGTTTGATTTGATTCTTCCAAATTAGGTAATTGGAAGAGGTAAGATTTATTGTGAGCAGATACAAAATTGTGGCAAGGGGAAGCTCTGAGGAAGACGACGCCATAGAGGGAGGAAGACGACGAGCAAGATTTGAGGTAAGATTAGGTTTTTACGCAACCCGCTCTGATACCATATAAAGATTTAATCTATGATGATATTTCATGTAAATCAGATACAATATATACACGTATAGATATAACAGCTAGCCCTATAACAAAGGAATTTAAATAATACAAATACAATCTTATCTAAACTTAAATTTTATCGCTAATAGAGAGGATAGAGAGTAGGGGAAAGTATGGAGAGAGTTTGTATTTTTGGGTTGTGATTGGTTGTTTTAATTTTTTGTAATTGTTTTTTAATTTTTTTTCTTTTAAAAGCATGTTTCACACACTATCACCATGTTGGGCTTATTTGACATGCATAAAACGTTGTGGTAATCCTTAGCACATGCTACTACTCTCCTTAGTCTAAGCTTAATGGTGAAACAACGTTTGAAGTTGAGCTACAATGATCCAACTTAGTGCTAATTGGCTATTGATATGAACCAATAAAAAAACGCTGATATTTTTATTAAATGCATTATGTTGTCACATTATTATTATTATTATTATTATTATTATTATAAACTCCTTAGGTAATAGTACTTGACTGTGATTAGCTAATTTTTTTCCTCTTTGCTGGGATTTGTATTTTTAATTTTTTTTTTCTTTGCTTGGTGGCAAACCACGTGTTATCTCCTCACACAAGCCACCACCTATTGATTATCTCAAGATGATTTTTATTCCACCGCCTCAAATCCACAGCTTTAATATTCTTCTTCAATCTTCTTTGCCCCAGAAAAGCATCAATCTACCTTTTCTCTTCTCAACATTCTTTGTATTTCTCTCGCCGGGTTTGAACCAGATTCCCACCTCCTCTATTTCTTTGCCAGAAGATGCTAATCTACCTAGCGCATGGTTAGTTTAATCCGTTCTCATACTTCTACATACTACCGTTCACCAATAAGGTTTTCAAAGAAAAAATTCTCATGCCCTTTCAGCAACCCTTTGTTTCTTAATCTCCTTTCCCACTGATTTCACAGCTCAAATCCAAACACTTCAATCGACTATCATCTAAAAAAAGAAGCAAAAAAGAAAGAAAAAAAGAAAGAACACAAGACTACTAAAGCATCCCTGTCCATACATGCAACCTTCGGTGGCCTCGAGACAACGATTCCTCCTCAAGATCAATTAAGAGTCATCGACACCACTAACTGTTGCTCGCGTCGCCCTAGAACAACTCTCCCTTTTTCCCTTCATACATCACCATTGCAGCAGGAAGCAGCTTCGCTACTTCTTCCCTTCATTCCTTCGGTCTCAATGAATCTACAGATGTTTCCTTAGTCGGCATTGATTGGCACCCATTGAACCACTCAGCAACCTTCCTTCCCCCTTTTGGTCGCCGCTTTCCAACCTTCCACCGCCACTTTCCTAGCGCAGGGTTCTCTAAAAGATATACACAATTAATTGTCGGAAAAGTGGAGATTTCATTGGCTATTAACAAGTCGATGTAATCTGCGTTGGAAATCGCGACGTGAATCGTGGTAATTTGTAATCTTTAAATCTTCCGATACAAGTCGCGTTTTTCTTAACTCGATACAGTATGTGCAAATTGGAATGATAACCTCATATCACTTCCAAACATCTATATTTTTAATTTGATAACAAGCATTTTGTTTTCTATGTTTGATTACTTTAGATTTACATCAACAACACCAGCGGTTTCATTAGATTACATTCAATTTGTTTCATATTTTTTCGTTAATTTATCTGTGATGTACATTATGATATGCAGGGTATACGAAGTAGGGCAAGAAATGCTAAAGCAGTTACTAATCTTCATCATAGGTTGCTTGATATTGAGAACAAGGAAGAGTTTCAGGTCAAGGGTTTTAGAATTCAAGATATATGATGTAGGTGCAGTTTTCATGGCCTTATGGTTATATATATATATATATATATATATATATATATATATATATATATATATATATATATATATATTATATATATATATATAATATATATATATATATATATATTATATATTACTTAGTTTGTATATTTTGACATCTTACTTTTGCAATAAAGAACGGTTAAACACAATATTTGACATGATTAAGGTAGTTTGTATATTTTTCATCTTGTTTAGTCTAAAAATGAAACATTTTTCATCATTGGCTCCTATTATAATATCAAGTTTAATCACATGGACTTCCTGATTACGGTGATTATTGTCCTTATTATAAGGTTCTATATAGATTTTGTTCAATATTTTAAGGTTTCGAGAACCTAAATCAATATGAATCCTTGAATTACATACCATCGTTGAAAATGTTTTAATTTGTGACCAAACATGGTTTAAAATCACAATGAACAAGTTGACACCTGAGTATTTTGGCATTCTCAAAGGCCTATTATCGACTTTTGAATCACAACACCTGATATTCTAAAGGTTTATTTTTATAAACTATTATTTATATATTTTAGCATTTTACTTAGTAGGACATTAAATTAATAAAGGAATTAAGGAAAACGAAAAAAAAAAAAAAAAAAGGACAATAAACAGTACAAGTGGTTTGGGTATGTATAAATGGAAGTAATAACCATTTAGGGGGTGTTTGGCAAAAAAGCTTATTGTTTATTAGTTTATTAGCTTATAAGTTAATAAGTAAATATAGGGTAACTTATGAAAACATGACGTATTAGAGGTTCCCTACCAGAATAAATTATTTTAATCCAAACACTTTTTTAACTTATAGTGATGTGGAACCTAATAAGTTGTTTTAAAAAAAACTTAGCCAAACACCCCCTTAATATGGTATGGTAATGCTCTTGAAAAGTAGATGTCATTTAATATTCATTTCTCGAACTGAATGCAAAATGGTTTTAGCTCTAAAGAGATCAAATTATTCGTCGTCCGCCGCTTTGCGCGGGTAGACGACTAGTGTATATATATATATATATATATATATATATATATATATATATATATATATATATAATTCAAACTGTTAGAGCAAATAGAATCACAATTGTTGTTGGGTATCATCTGTAGATTCTATGAATAGAGATGTTTAAAGGTTTTTGTAAACAATTTATTATTTTTACCCTCTATTTACACCAAATCCCTCCATCCTTCAACCTTTGTTGTCACAGCCGGAGTAGAGATAAGCATAGCCAAAAGAGCTTGTGATGAGGCTACAGGTGTCCAGAAAAAGTGCAACAAATCTAACTAGAACCTGTAAGTCATTTGGTTCTTTTATTTTAGCCCTATTATTTTGTGTTTACTTTATAAAATGTTATTTATTCATGTATTTAATTTATTTTCTGATTGGTTTAGATCGCGTCATCATTGGACTCCTCCTACTGTTACATATAACTTTTTAGGGATTATGTTATGAAATTTGAGCCCAAGAAGAAAGTGGAAGCTACCCTAAGATTAGTATTATATGATTCTATAGGAAGGTAAGGTTAAGACTTCCATGGAAGATGCTATTTCAGCACCTCAAAAATCCAAATGTCTTCCATGAGTTGGTTGCTTTTAAGCAAAATCAATTTCACATTTCAAACAATTTAAAATTATTTTCTGGTTTACTATTGTTCACTTGATTTGTGTGTGAAGTTTGGGTTGGATTTACAATCTTTTAAGGTAACTATGTGGAGGTTGTAGAAAGATGTCCATGGAAGATGTCGTTTCAGTACCCCAAACTCCAAATGTCAAACCGATTTCGGCCCATTTTTTACAAATAAATGAAAGTATG